TTTTTTTGTCTCACATTTAATTTTGTGGATGAAGGCAGGTCGACTAGAGAATGCTGTTGGTTGGTACCATTCCCATCCTGGTTATGGATGTTGGCTTTCTGGCATTGATGTTTCAACACAAATGCTTAACCAGCAATATCAGGAGCCCTTCCTGGCAGTTGTTATTGATCCAACAAGGACTGTTTCAGCTGGTAAAGTTGAGATTGGTGCTTTCAGGACATACCCAGAAGGATACAAACCTCCAGACGAGCCCGTCTCTGAGTATCAGACAATTCCCTTGAACAAAATTGAAGACTTTGGTGTGCATTGTAAGCAGGTGATGACTTGTGAAAAATGTATGGCTCTCAAACCGTTTTGCATAATTTTCTTAGTCAAATCTTATCATGTCTTGCAGTATTATGCATTGGATATTACATATTTCAAGTCATCTCTTGATTGTGAACTCTTGGATCTGCTGTGGAATAAATATTGGGTGAACACCCTTTCTTCTTCTCCTTTGCTTGGTAATGGAGACTATGTTGCTGGTCAAATCTCAGATTTAGGTAATTTTCTTGCTAATATTGCTAGTCCTTTATTTCTTTCCACCGTCAATTATTTTGAGCCTGTCATGTTAGCATAGCTAGAATAGTTGATTTTCAAAAATTGCTATAGGTGATGCTGATTGTCAAGTAAATTCCATTTAATGCTTCTGATGTCATGCAGCTGAAAAACTGGAGCATGCTGAAAATCAATTGTCTCATTCGCGCTTTGTACCCTCGATAGCACCTGCTCAAAAGAAGAAAGAGGTCAGAGCAACTATAACTTTTGCTTCCTTTATCACATAGACTATTTGACCGTCAGGTGGACATTGTTGTTTGGTTTTTGTATTAAATATTCTTTTATATGTTAAGCTCTTTTCTGTTCAAGTCTTTTGAAGTTCACAAATTATCTTCATGGAAGAAATTGTTTTGGAGTCTATTGATCAGTGAATGCAGTTAATGCAGAACAAAAATTTTATCCACGCTTTTCATGCTTTCACTATGCAAGATTGGGATAATTTTATGTACTGGGGAATCTACAATTTTTTTTCCCTGGAAAAATTAATGGAAAATTACTATCATTTTTTACGTGTTTGAGTAGTTGTCTCAACAAGGATGTGCTTATCTTTTTCTGAGGTTCTTTACAATTAATCATTCTTCGGACAGAATTCTATTGAAGGATGAACAGAGGTTTAAATTGGCATTATAAGGTGCTTTGATCATTATGTTTTGGGATTTTGTGGATTGCAAGTTATTCCAGTTGGTAAAACATGCTACCTCTGTTCCCACATAACAGTTATAATCTATTTTGGTGAGCTAGTTGTCACATAATTTGACCTCTTTTAGAATCAAAATGAAAAAAATAGTGATTTGCAACATGTTTCTGTCCTCAATGTTACAAGAGAATTTGCATGTGCAAAATTTGCTATTTTAGAATCAAAGAAAATATATACTGTTCTGCAACATGTAACCATCCTCTGTGTTACAAGATAAATTGCACGTGCAATATGTAAATTTTACAATACTAGCAGTTCTTTTATATGAGAGTATGGACTATATTACAGGATATGCAGCCTCCCTCCCAAAATTTGACTTTGATCTTTTAGCCCTATATTTATTATTGCTCTTGCTGGATTCTCGAGTGAACATATTTGATATATTCCTAATTTCAGCAGTTACCTTTCGGCTCTCATATATCTTGATCCTCTTGCTTGTATGCATGTTATGTTAACACTTAGCTGTATGAGTTGATAGCTAGCAAGAAGTGTATGCCTGCATTTATGCTGCCAAACAGCAGCTTTTAAGTTGTCCTATTTTCGCGACGTCTTGCTTTAAAAATGTAACTGTTCATTCCCTCATCTTTTATCAGCTGACCATTTATAAGCATATATGGATGCATATATGCGTAGTGCAAAAATCTGTCCAACCCTTCTGCTTTCTTTGATATTGCCCTTAACTGATAATTTTTGCTGTTTCAGGAAGAATCTCAACTTGCCAAGATTACTCGTGATAGTGCAAAGATAACTGTTGAGCAGGTTCATGGTTTGATGTCACAGGTAAACAGCCTCATTTACATCCCCTTCTTCTTGCATACCGAGACATTACAGTTACAGGATTTTGGGTTAACCGATGCTGGTTTATCCTACTCTTTTAGGTTATAAAGAATATACTTTTCAACACAGTTCGTCAGTGCAACAGATCTCGGGAAGAGTCATCTGGTCCCGAACCAATGATTGAAACCTAATCCGATGGTTGGCAAATTGTGCCTTTTGAACTTTATTCTCTTAGATTTTCTTGAAAGTTCTTTCATTTGCAAATGCTGCTAGCGGTGCAACGACTAGACTCGTCAAAAATGTGGCTATAGACAATGGAGAGTTTATCTTTTGAACTTTGAGGTTAATGATAAGTAATTTGTTCGTTATCTTCTATGCTCGTGACTCTCCGACGTATATATTCTTGCCAAGCTGGGGGCTCTTTCTACTTGGGTTATTGACATAGATACATTGAGTGAATAACTGTTACTCAAATCAATCTTACTCTTGATCAACTCGAGTTTACTTAATAGATGTCAGTTTATCTCGACACTTTTAGCTCAACTGAACGTGACCAACATGTAGAATGACACTGTAGGTGAGCTTATTTTTACTGTTTATTATGGTGCAAAATGGATGAAAAAACTTGATAGAAGAATACAAAACTAATCAGAATGTAAAACCTAAGATGCAGCATACCGGAAAAGCTAGGATTAAATGCATTGTACAATTTAAGATTGTTTTGAAGTTTGATTAATCACACATTTACCAACTTTTATCAAAAATTGTATAATAATAGTCTTCTTCAAATGTAAGAACGAAGTTTAAAATCAGAGGGATATTGGAAAACTTTGTCAAATACAATATTTTTGCTGGTTTAAAAGTTACGTTAAAGCCAGAAATCAATTAGAGTCAGAAGTCTGTTGCAACAAACAGATTTCTATTATTGGTCCCAAATTCAGATTTTCAATCCTCGATTTTTTTTTATTACCAATCCCACTCCATTCCATGATTAGCCTGACCATCCATGGCGAATGCTGCTTCTGCTTCCACTGCCCTTGTTTGTAGAGTTCCCCAGCTTTTCTCCTCCACTTGCACATGCCGGTATTTTCCACTTCGCCGCCGGTGGTTTATCAAGACTGGCGATCGTAGAATTTATGCTTCGGTATCAGCTGCAACCCCTCCGCAGAGTAGGCCAGATGATCTCGTCGCATCCATTGTTTCCAATGTACCATTTTTGTTTAAGATTGAATGTAGTATGATTGTTGGGAAAATTCTGTGGTAAAACTGATTTATTGTGGACCCAATGAATTATATTCTTCCACGAGCAACGTGAGGTTCGTGAGTAATGTATGACACTCATCTCATTGAACCCATGTCCACGGTCAGGTTGGAGTAGCCCTCTACTCTTATTCTACTGTTACTGGCACTTTCCACAACTCACCTTTAAAACCGGCAAATAAGAGAAGGGTGGCTTCACAAGCGACGTAAGACTAAGAAGTAATTTTTACGGATTGATGCTGACTTAATGAACCACGGTATGATAGTACTGATTTGCCAGGGGTGGAGGTGGGGGGATTAAGAACTGAGTAATTTGTAGTCCATCTTTCTATAAGGGTCCAATGGAGTTCTGGTTCTCTATAGGTCACGAATGTTATAAATACTAAGAATGAAATTGGTTCCTACTTATTCTGTCATGTATCTCTTTTGGAATAATCGATGCATTTGATGAAGAATCAATGGAAGGACACTGGTAAAAATCAAAGAAGAACCAACGATACAGGAGGAGAAAAAAAGGAAACTGCTGAGCGATAAGTCCACAAAAAGCTCACGAAAAATAATTGAATGAATCATATTCGACAAGATATTTTATCAGATAGGAAGTGTCATCCCCTGACTCCTACACATCCCTGAAATAATGAGAGGTCAATATTCAATGAAACTAACATCACAATTGAAAGATGAAATATGGGACTGAAGGCCTTGTTTGTGAGATTGGTCAAGTTATGGTCTCAAGAATGAGAACAATCTCCTTTTACTATGAAGTTGACTTTACTGAACTGATTTGTTGTGAGTCGTGGACATTTTACTTAATATGGTTTATGTTGCCTGGTAATTTAGGTAAATGAACCAAGATTGTTGGACTAACTATTTATCTACTAAGTTTCTTAGAAAAAAAATATCACATGGCCATCGATGTTTCTCTTCTTTGACTTAGTATAGAAACTTTACGAGCTTTGCTTTTCCTATCTCATGCTAATAAGAGGGCACACTATATTCTTTTCCAAAGTACACTAATTTGATAAGGCATTATGACAGGTTTAAGGTATCTGAACCGTCATGCACTACTTAGTTTGCTACTTATCTTTAATTTCATATGCATTGGTTGCAATATGTGCTGTACATCTCCAAGTTTCTCCCTTTATGAAATTTGATATCTACTAATAGTTCTTTAATAATCAATCCGTGCTTGCTAGTCATTTTTTACCTTGTAGATGCGATATGATTGTTGTATTTTCATCCTTTCACCTTCCATGTTTTCGTTTTCTCCATCTGGTAAGGTTCAAATTATTTTCATCTCTATGATTGATCCATTCTCAGAACTTCCAATTGTAAAGAAAACTGAGATTTCATCACTAATTAGGTCATGCAAGCATATCGAGGAGTTCTGCTGACGAGAGATGAAAACCGAAAGGTGGCTGAAATGGCTACTGATTTGCAAAGGTTTTGTGTTAATGAGCCTGTAAAGTGCCCACTTATATTTGGAGGTACAAATTCCCATTCCCGATCGGTTACTTATTTTGAACCCTTCTTCCAATTTGATATTAGTGATTCATACAAGGTTAACATGTGAAAGGTTGAAAGTTATTCACAGGAGGATTTGACAATTGTCCGCACACTTTGTTTGCTGGCCCATTTATTTACTACGTGTCATAAACTGAATTCTTATAATTGATTCTTCTGCAAAACAATTTTCGTACATAATGGTGTCCTGTGTGAAATGACAGATGATCTTAGATATGAACTCTTCTATTTGAATGACGTTGATGCATAAACTGAGCGTTTTAATGTGGTAGTTGCAAACTAGGTTGTACAATAATTAAGCCTTTCCTAAGTTTCAGGCTATGCTACTCCCCAATTGTCTTGATAAGAACTCATCGTTCTCTTTCTGATATCTCATCTGTTATTTCATTCATCTAACTTTCCACGAATATTATAAGATGGCTGCACAAGCACTTTGAAGTTTCGTATATGAGAAAACTGTAGAGATGTTGAATATAAAGTTACGTGAACTTTCTGCTGTGTGATTCCGAATATGGATTTGCTGCAACTTTGCTGAAATTATATTGACTAGGAATTGCTTCTAAAATCTTGTGCAGTTTATGAGAAATGCCCGTTTCAATGATGTACGAGGCTAAATAATGTTGTATCAGACTTTAGAGCATCATCTTATTAATCTTTACCAGCATTGCACAACAAAAGAGAAACTTAGTTCAGGAATTGAAGTGCTTGCTGATGTCGAATGTTTCTCTCTGCAGAGTGGGATGTGCTATATTGTCGAACCTTACATCACCTGGTGGTGGTTATCGGAGTTCAATTGGACTCCTATTTTTCAAAACCAACGAAATGATTCAGGTTGTTGAAGCCCCTGACACGGTGAGAAACAGAGTATTTTCTCTTCTAGGGCTCCTGGAAGGAGAGGTTTCATTGAAGGGTGAATCCAATTGCCAATTTTTTTCTTTGATTTTCTTTTTTATTTATCACACAAGTATTTAGGGAGTTATTTTGTTCTGTGGATACCATTCAACCAATAGATCAAGATTCCTTATAGCTGCTTTGCTAAAACTCATACAGCATCTTGAAAAAATACTTTCTGCATGAAGCATTAAGTAATGAGAGATGACAATTTAAAATGACCGGTTTGTAAATGAGATTGACAGAGATCATGAAGATTGACGAAGATCACTAAGAGTATGACTTAACAAATTAGTATATAATTATATTTTCCATATTTAGGTCGATTTCATCTACCATATTTAGACTGATATCATAGTTATATAAGGTAAATACTCTTCCTATATAATGCAAGGAATCCCTAAAGTAAAGATTATTCAGTCAAAAGTTTGTCAGGTATCAGAACTTGCCTCGTGAACTTTATACTAAGTCTTCGATTTTCTTTGGGCATAACTCAACCTCCCAAGTATGGGTTTCTTGTGGTGGTCGATAGTTAACATAATTTTTGTCAACGTGTAACTCTTGTGGTGAATTTCTTGTGATGGTCAATTGTTGACAGAATTTTTGTCAATTATGACTCTCGATACGTTGAGTGTGGTTCAGTTCCTGCCATCCCAAACCTATTTTGATCTCCATAGTATCAAAATGCATTTTTCTCTCTCCTCTTTTTAACTGTACATTCTCCAATAAAATAATATTACAGTAAACCTAAAACTTTTCTTTCTTTTTTAACCACACATTATTCAAATAATCACTATTCCATAATACATTTTCCCCAAAACCTCGTTAAAATTGAGCCCAAACAAAGGCTAAGCTAACACAATCTCATTCCTATGTCCGACTATCAGCCTGATGGTAAAGTAAAACCTGTCTGCATGAGCTAGTATGTAATTTAAGCCACAAATTGAACTGGACTCCATGGATAAGCTTGGGCTCCTGATAAAATGTGCCTATTACAAATCTATTATTTATTTCTCCATCCTGCATTCTTGCTTCCGGTATTATTTCCATTGATTAACATTCTATTAGCTACATGCATGATGAATTTTCTCGTGGCACAGAATTCATGGCATATATGTGTAGACTTCTGCTAGTGGAACACCGGATTCTTTGTTGCCACTATATACCATTTTTTAAATCTCCCCTGAAATATTATTTTTTGTTATCTATTTTTGTCCTAATTTAATCCATATTTCATATGAAAACATTTAAGGTATGTTTGATACAATCAATGTAGACCGCAGAAGTAAATATGTTATCTATTACACTCTCTGAATGCCTATAATGCACTTAATTCTCGATTTAATGTGCAGGGAAACAGCGTTTGAGCCACGTGAACTCGAGGTTGGAGGACTGGAGTTCACATATGGTTGGGGAGAGTGAATTGAAGCTGGAGATTACATACATAGATGAGAAGATCATGACTTGGAAAAGGTTCTAGAGGTTCTATCTTTGTTTTTCAGAGACGCAAACCAATCTAATGAAATACTCATTTTTTTAATCAAAGCTCTTTTTTATTATAGTATACCTAACTTTCTCGATTGGCATAAAATAACAGAGTAATTGTATTTTAACACGGGTATTTTAGTGGGAACTTCCTCGATTCATCATCAAGATTTCTTCACTTGCATAGAATATTTATATGTTAAGGGAGTTGGTTTTTTCTTTTTAGTGGGAGATGGGGGCTATGACTAGAGGTGTAAATTGGCATGGCCGGTTCCATGAGCCGACTAGACACGGCTCATGTGGGACCATGGAAATATTTGTTGTACTGAGCATGCCCCGATATGCAAAATCCCTGGGTCATGAAAGGCTGGGATATAACATGACTAACACAGTTCATTTTACACTCCTAGTTGAAACGAGTGAGGAGGCTATGGAGCATGCTTCAGTTCGGAATTTCTTTCCGGTGCAGAAAACATTCAGCTAATGTCTTCAATTAACATACTACGTAGATTCTCAACAAGAGGCTGAAAGGATCTTTGTCCAATAAAAGCATAAAACAACTGTTTATAACTGCCTAAGACACACTTAAAAGCATATACAAAAAAAAATCCATTAATTGATCCATGAGAAAACATCACCTGTATATAACTGCCAATGCAGAAACCATGAAATTGAAAGGTTTGACATCATGCGTATGCATTGGTCGTCTTCATGCTCAATTCATTGTCAAGTCACAGAGAATGCCAATCCCTCATTAGTAATAGGCCCTCGATGAATACACATCGTCACTAGCATTTGAAGAGAAGTCATCATCCCAATCCCTTTCCTTTAACTCTTCAATTTTCTCAACAGCTTCATTCAAATCCCATCTTTTCTCCACATCCCATTCACAGCAACACATCCCAATTTTCAGAAGCCTCATCATCTGACTTTCCTCATTCCGGGTCAGATTCATTTCTTTATCAAACACCTCACCAGTCCACTCTTCTCTTACAACAGACTTAATCCATGCTACCAAATCAGCCTTGTCTCCTCTCCCTTGATTCAGATAATTCGCGGGAAACTGGCCGGTGAGCAACTCTAGTATCAGAATCCCAAGATTCCATACGTCACTCTTTCTATTTAAACTGTCATTTTGTGTAGACTCTGGTGATTTATAGGCTACCATAAATTGTTGGGCGTGCTTCTTGTTGATCACTGGTGCTAGGCCATAATCAGCTAGAAGGGGTTCATATGTGTAGTTTAGCAGAACATTGGATGACTTTAGATGGCCGTGTGGTACGGTTATGTTGGGGAGCTCCTTGTAAAGATAAGCCAATCCCTTGGCTATACCTTTGATGATCTTTAAGCGGGTTGGCCAGTCAAGAGCTAGTTGTTGAGGACTTCGATTACCTATATTGAATCGAGTCCAAATATTTATTAGATAAAATGGAAACAATAGAGGGTGTTGAAGACAAAATTTTAAGGAAATGACATGCGTGCCATATCTAACATTTTAAACTCAATTCAATGTTGTTGTAAGCCTTTGATGAAAAGTAAGTTGGGTCTGCACAATATTGTATGTGTTGATTATTCAATTAAGATTGTCTCCTATCTCACACATTAAACTTTTAGTAGTAGTAGTTTAACTTAGTATCATAGCAAACAGAATTGTGAGATCAAGACTCACTACCACTCATTTACTAAAACTATATATGTGTCAGGCTTTTGATGAAAAAGTCAGGTCTACCTGCTCTTGAGCGGCCATATTGAAAAAAAATCAAATAAATTAATGTGTTCTTTATCTCACAGTTTAAGCATTTAGACGAGATGGCTTTGCTAGAAAGAAAAACTTCGTATGCAACGCAACCATGTTTCTTCTATTCTAATAATCCCAAAAGAACTTAGTCAAAATTTACTTACCATGGAGGTGACTAGCCAAGCTGCCTTGTTCAGCAAACTCGGTTATCAAAAGTTTTTCTTCTTTTGTGTAGTAGAAAGCCACAAGCGGCAGCAGATTAGGGTGAGACAACCTTCCTAGTCTTCTCATGTGTTCGTAAAATTCATCTTTTCTTAAACTGCTCATTTCTTTGAACCTCTTAACAACCAATCTTTGGCCACTGAAAAGGACAGCCTTGTAAGAAGATCCAAAACTTCCAATTCCCAATACTTCAGAGGATGCTCTAAGAAGTTCTTCCAATTCAAATCTTTCCCTATCATTTCGTACAAAGTATAAGTCTCCCTGTTCATAGTCCTTGGAGATTTCACCCTTAGAATTGCTTAATTCTTTCTTCTTGTTAATTTCAGCGGATTTTTTGTGTTCTTGTGGTTTTGAACATTGACAGAAAATGAAAGAAGCAATAATGACTACTAATGGAACTGCAACTGCGATGGCTACAACGAGGGTAACTTTCAGGAGAGAATTTTTCCTGCATTTGTCTAGGGGCTCACCACATAGGTTGTTTCCTGTTTGAAACCAGTTGATGAAGAAAATATTATTTTAGAAAAGTAAAGGAGTAAAATGGTCAAGAACTTTTCAGATTTTCTGATGATTAATATTGCTCTTGCTTAGTATTTGTTCTTACTCGGGGCCTAAATACTCTCTTGAATATTTTTGGTTCTTACTTGGGAGGAGCTCGAGATCTTGAGGTCCCGAAATGTCTAGACACAGAAAGATACAATTGACTTTACTAGTGTACAACCGTGCATAACAGATTCTTTTGGGACAACATACTGATTTGATCTAAAATTTAGACAATTATTTGAGATCAACAACTAGACTTTGATATCATCTCCTATTTAAAAATATTTACTTTTATTTAACCAATGTATTTCTTGAAAGAGCTTCTATAGGAGACTTGGAGAAACTCTGAAGTCCAATATCTAGATAGAAAGTTTTAACTACTTAGAAAGACTATAACTGAACATCTGTCAAGCTTGGTTTTTGTGTCGTTTTCGAATTTTTCGGTAATCATAAGTTCATGGATACATGTTGAAGATATAATTTAAATAAATAAGTTTGCCGCCTCTGCAATGGCTGAAGGTTTTAGATGTCATAATTTAATATAGTATCAGAATAGGTAGCACGCTTCAATTTTTTATTTTGTGAAAAATGAATCCAACTTGAACATGATGAAGTGTGATATCTTGAATGGGACGTAAATGGAGTTGAGGATCTTTACGACTTACCCGAAAATGAGCTTTTATCCTGGCTTCTAAGTGTAGTTGGTATAGGACCTTCAAGTTTATTATTTGCAAAATTCAGTCAAATTTTCCTGCCAAAAATCAGGTATCCTCCCATCAAACTGGTTGTTCTGAAGCTGCAATTCAACAAGCTTTAGCAATTCCAGAAGGGACGTAGGAATTTTACTTGTAAACTCATTATTTCCCATCACTACTCTTCTCAAGGACTTCATACCAGAGAAAACATCGTCGGGAATCTCACCGTAGAATCGGTTTTTAGCCAAATTTTGGCCTCTTAATCTTTGGAGTTTCTTTAAATCACCTGGAAATGGACCGCCAAAGTTATTGCTCATGACGCTTAGTGTTAGCAGCGCCGGTAACTGTGCAAGGTTGTCCAAGTCGATCGTGCCCCCAAGCTCCATTCCTTCGAGTTGTAGCCCTATAAATTGACCATTGTAACAAACCAGGCCTTTCCAGTTAGAAATATTACCATTGCTCAATGTATCTGTCTTCGCCCAATCATCTAGTGCTGTGGTGTAAGAGAGAGACCCCTTAAACTTGAGCAGCACTTTCACCTCCAAATCATCAGATGATGCATTTATAACACGTTAACAAGACATAAAGCAGAAGAAACCCATATGCGATTTTATGACCCATGATCAACTGGAGGCTTTATCTCAGTCTACGCTTTTCATAGCCGAGTAGAGAAGGAGAGTTGCTTACGTCGTATGGTCCTGACCAATGTTAACTACTAGGGGGATTGGAAAATGAGCGAAGGAAGACGGTTATTGTTGCATAGTGTTTGAGAATTGCAGAGGTGAGAAACAAGGCAGAGGAGAACTCTACAAATGATGAAATACTAAGAGGCAATAGGCCAAAATATGGTAGAAGACAAAAGAAGTACAGGGGTGTGGTGAGGTTGACAAAGTCTATTGCTGTTTTGGCCGGCGCCTTTGAGCATCACTCTTGCCAGTTTTGAGTTCATTACAAGTCTTGTATTTATGTGCTAACTTGTGTAGTTCTGTACTCCTTTTTTCTTGTTATTAGTGATGCTTGATTTTGCCTTGGTTGGACATGTATACATTTTTTAAGCTAAATATTTTCTTTACGATTTCTACGATGATTCTAGTTTGGTCTTCACGTTGATCCTAGTAAAGATGGAGGCTATTGTACTCGTGTCGCTTCAAGGCCAGTGATAAGGCTCTAACTCGTGCCATGGAAGGCACAAAAGATTAACCAGGAAAAAACGACGGGGGCATAGGATTAGTGCGAGCAACGTATCGTCCCCCGAGGATTTCGTGTCTAGTTATGAATTCAATTAACCCTAAGTTCAACCAAAATCAACCACACTAGCACCAGCATGCCAGACATCGATTTCAACCATCAGATATGGGATAGCACACTAGGCTGTCACCAATGCTCTAATATCTGCTCTCAACACTTCTTCAAACCGCATTATGAGACCCCTGCACCAATTTCAGGAATTCATTATATTTTGTTACGAAATTATTATCCCGGTGCTTGTGGTGTTGGAATTCAAACAAAATTTTAACTACTTCCAATTTTTCAATATTTTGGTCGTTTAACTATAATATTTTCACAAATAACTCTATTTAATATATTTGTCAGAATTTGCTTCAGTAATGAATGATCTGAAACTTCAACTAAAAAGAAGTAACAACCATTCTTATCTAGTGTCATTCTTTTATCGTAATAAGGAACCTGGTACACACCCCGCCTAGAAATCCCTGGGTCACCCCAACCTCAGGCCACGCCATTGCCATCCCTAATTAATATGGTATAATTATTATTAGTACCAAAAAAGACAAAAAAGTTAGAAGAAAATATAATTTTATCCAAATATTATAACGCAAGTTTAGATATATTTATTTCAGCCAAAAACAATTTTGGCATTTAAATCAAAAAACCTTAATAATGAGAAAAAAGAAAAAGAGAAATAAGGATAGAAAATATTATTCAATAATAGTTTGAAATAGATAAAATGTGTGTACACCTCAAGTGTGTAATGTGCTATAAACTGAAATCAGCTGCAATGACGTGACAAAAGCAGCATTCACATAACCTTCTGCTCATAATAAATACTGAACCAAACGAAGAGAAGACAACATGCACGTTAGCACCCCAATACAGATAAAAAACTGCAATGTATTTTTAATCTTCTTCCGCTTCTAAAGTATTAGTAATTTTATCTGTTTTCAGGTGAAAAATAAAATCAATAAATCTATGACAATGATCATGGGGCAATCCTTTGTGGATCGCGTGGGAAAAGTGAAGATTTGCGGATGTTATTGAGTGCACAGAATAACATCACCATGCGTTCCAATCCCACTCCAAACCCACCATGAGGTGGTGCGCCGTACCTTCAGCAAGCCAACCACAAATTCAGATTTCACAGCATTACTAGTAAGCTAACGAATGGCAGAAATGGCTATAATTTTACAGGAAATGATACATTTAACGTAAGAATACTTCAAATGATACATTATCAGGGAGAAAATATGATGTACGGTAGAGTAACGAAATGAGGAAACAACTTTAAACACTAACTTCCAATTCCAACAGACAACTAATCCTTCTCTAGTCAGCTTAAAAGAAGGTAGGCAGCATTGTGCATGATTTCTAGTTCTGTTTTCTTGAGCGAGATGCGAATCAGTTAATTTTACTTTTGAAGACGGTAAGTGCACAAGTCAAATGCTCATCTCACTAAAATCAATTATATAACCTTCATTGTTCATACTTCGGTACAAGAAGGCTCATCTCTTAGCATTCAGTGAAGGAATGTAAAAGCCCAGGGGAAACTAATTATAATGTTTTAAAGCATGTATTGGAAGTGTTTATAAAGAAATAAAATTATAAATAGATAGAAATGAGTGGTAGATAAGTGGGTGGTATTTGTAAGTTCCTCGAAATTTGTAGAAAAAAGTGACTTGAGTGTTTATAAACAGTTTGTAAACATGAGTAAAGCATAGGCTACATTTGCACTCAAAAGGAAACATGGTTACTCCGATAATAAAAATCTTGAAAGTAAGAACGAGCGAGTGGAAAGAGCACCTGAAGGAATCGATATACGTAGATATTGTCTTGACATCAATTCCACATGCTTGTGCACGTTCTGTCAAGTACTCAGGCACATGGACACGCTGACCTCCTGAAATAATTTCCTCGCCTAACAATTCAGAAAGACATTGTATTAGATCTCATATTAGTACTGAGAAAAAAAAAATTCCAAGCACTTCTAAGATAGATTTTTTTTTCTTCCTTTGTCCCCACAGAAACACAAGAAAACATTTAGAAAAGTATTTCTGAGAGAGCAATTTTTATAGAATATCAGGATATTATATCAATCTCATCATTATTCTTGAGTTTCAGAAACAGCAAATATCTGGAAAAATAACACATCCGTGTTGTTTTTAGCTCGAGTGCAACTTTATGGGATGGTTACATGCTTTATATTTTGTATTCGATTTTATTTAAACCTACAAAATATTATCGAAAATCAGAAACTTTACAGTTCACATAATATACCACAGGCAAGGTTGCTCAAATTGATATCCTCAGGAGGATTTCTTTGGGGTTAGCCGCAACAGAATGTAAAATTGAAAGATTCCAAGTGAACAGAAAGAGAAACTAGGAACGAAATAACCTATAAACATATTCAAATAATAGGATAGAACTCAACTCTTTCACATATCTTATGGGATGGTCAAGATTTGATTGTATTATCCTTGTACAAATTGAATTAAATTCAATACAACTTCAATCCAAATACAATGGTATGCACATACTAACTTGAACAGATTTGAACATAACATCGGTTAACCAACATGAATGGCATCTCAGCCATCATGAAACAGTTGCATTCGACAAAAATGGAACCAGTAAGCCAGGTTCTCAACTAGAGAATAATTGTTCAATGTTTTGCAATTAGGGATTGGGAAAATCTGGGCACATTATGCTATTTCTAGCAATGAGTAAGGTGTCAGGTTGCGTGGAGTTTTATGAAACATTAGTGAGACCAAACATAGCAATTAAAACTGCAAAAAAGGTAATTTGGCCCAAAAGCATGATTGCCATAAAATAGTGGAATCCAACAATCCTACCTTCAAATACTATGGACATCTTATCATTGTGTGCATGAGTGAGTTCAAACTTGACAAATTTGTTGAGTCATAAGTTATGTCCTCTCAATTTTTTTTTTTTAGAGGTTAACATATGACCAATGCTCAAAAGCTTTCCTTATCAAAATATATTCTAAGAATGTACAATGGTGTCTCATGTTACATAGAAGGGCTTGATGCTTACCTCGAATAAAAACATCAAATGAGTTACTATAAAGTGAATTATCGTAACAAGGCATGGTATAGAACGGTCTCACAGCCAAAGGATAGCGGTGAAGAATGTAGAACTCTGTGTCATACCTATGATCATAGAAGTGAAATTAAAATCCTGTCTGACATTTTCATTATTATTCAGAGATGTGAACCAAAAATGTAAAAGGGAAAATTAATGAAAATATTGGTGAAATCAACATACTTCTCAAGAACAAGCTGGCCCAATTTTCTCTCCGATTCTGTGTTAAGATCTCCAAGAGGATCAATTTCAACACCAGCTTTCTGTGCAAACAGATGTCATAAACACAGCGATTTTTCTCAAAATATGTATCTAAAATACGAGATGGATCTGGCAACTACGTGCTATCATAGCATATTATTTACATTGCAGGACAGTACACGTTGTCCAGGTAAGAGAATGCATGTATTACAGAAACATTAATGAACGGACCCTGAAAAAAAACATTAGTGAGAAGAAAATGGACCAGGTAAAAAGAAATCGTCAGCAATTAGAATGGATAAATTTACAAGAGTAGAAGGCTCGAATAACAACAGGAATACCAACACAAGTAGGAAGAAATTTATGTTTCAGACATTTCTCATCATATAATGAAAAATAACCTCCTACTTTCATGTGAATGTGAAATTTGTATAAAATTCATGAGCAGAAACAAAAGCATACGGTTTTTTTACAGATACATAAAATACATGCATAAAAAAAAGTGCATACAAGTGCACTGAACCAAATATTCGACACTTTTCCTAAGTATGATTTTCTTTCCTTTTCTCAGAATTTCCAGTCAAAGAGGAGTATATTACTGAAGCTAACTATCATGGATCATGAAAAGCATGCTGGAAAATTTTTAAACACCCCCATGAGTAGATTTTGTTAGGTCAATGGTGATCACTTGGAATTTGTGTTCGAAAAGATGATAACTTGCAAGCGGGTTTTTTTTCTCAGTGTCGTTCAGCCAAAAAAATGTATTTAATTCCATGAGCTGTAATAGTCTTGTCCAGAAGCAGTGAATATCAAACAGAAAAAGAAATCAGAAAGACTACCACAAGGTCATCCAACAGCCCCTTTCCTGACCCTGCACTTACCAGACCAATTGTATTTAAAATTGAAAAAAAAAAAAAAGGAATCAGTGACTTGTTCCTTCTAAGGGCAATATATACACACTTCTCTTGGTTCTGATAACAAGCAGTTCCAGCACATTGCCAAAGATTCAAAAATAATTGCACATAACTTTCCATGAGCAAGATCAGTACTTTACTCAGTTCTCACAGAAAATCTTGAAGAAATTTACTACGAATTCATAAACTTAATACCTATGAAATGAGTTTTTTTCTTAATTTAAATTTCAAGATACGTGTGGAAAAAAGGCATATTAGTTACTCCTCGAGGAGTGCCTAACATGAAGCCTTTTATTAAGAGTCTTGAAGTTACACTTAGATTGCCTTTTGTCCAGGCTTATATCTTGAGTTCCTGAAGCTCAGAGCCTCGGTGTAGCGTGGGTGAGCGCGCTTGGTTCCATTTTTGGACTTTTTGTTACTGGTCTAAACTTTTTTGGTTGGTTTTCTTATAATGTATGATTTAAAAATTTTTTTTGTCTATTTTAAAAAAATCCAACCATAGAGAACTAGAGAAAACGAATTTGTGAACAAAGGAGAATGCATAAAGATCTCGAGCGATGAATCTCTCTCCCAAATGTAACTTCAGTTTGTTGTTTCAATTTTCCTTTCATTGTCTGTGTTTTATTTTCTTTTTCTAGATTTCTTTTCTTCCAAAGTAAAAGCAAGCAAACATTTTTATCCAATAGCTGGTACGTTGTTGACCCATTTTAAGTTCAGTGTTGGAAATAAGACTTTTAATTTTGTTGAAATGAATTTTTTAGATGGTTTATCATGAGTACAGAAGCAACTTTCTGAATTATTTCATTGGTTCTTATCAAGGCTAATACCTTAACGTGCATCAAGAGTTAAGCCTTGCTTCACGGAGGCAAAACAACTCGATAGCCTCTTTACCCTTTTTATAGATTGGCAGAAATTTTTTTCTTTTATATTCTCTAGTGCTTTTCTTTAAAAAGAACAGAGTATTCTCATCAGAAGAAGTAGTTCTTCCCCGAAAAAGATCCTACCTTCAGCATTTGAACCCCTTCTTCAAAGGTAAGCCGCAACGTCTTTCGCAGGTACTGCATACTCAACCAGAGGCAGGATTTAGTAATTTAGCATCAAAGCAAAAAATTTGATATTACTTAATCAGTATCTGTGATGGGATCCATAACAACTTCTTTCACAATAATCAAGATTGCAAATCATGTAAAATGAGTAGTAATGACCTTCAATGGGTTAAAACGGTATTGTGCATTGATGGCCTCAAGCTCCTTTTGACAAGTATTATTCAAACTGTCAAACATTGTAACAAATAAGCGGTCAACAATATCCATTACCTGCATGAGTAAGATCAGGACGTTACAAAGAAAGTTGTATTTCAAGTACTCAAAAACTTTATTCAATTATGCACACCTCTGAATAGTGCTCCTTGATCTCCATTTCAACATCAAGACCAGTGAATTCACACAAATGTCTGTGAGTAAAAGAATCCTCTGCCCTAAAGACAGGACCAATCTCAAAAACACGGCCGAAATCACCACAAATTGCCATTTGTTTGTGAAGCTGAGGTGACTGTGCCAGACATGCAGGTTGCCCTTTGTAATCGAGTTTAAAAACAGCTGAACCACCTTCACTAGAGCCTCCTATCAATTTTGGTGTGTGGATACCAACAAAACCTTCAGACAGTAAAAACTGCCTAAATATCTGAATGAACATGAAATAGAATTAAGACTCAGCAGGTACAATTTTTCTAATATTGCAATAATTATAACAATGATTCAATAAGTATCCTATTAAATGTTAATTAAAAATAGAAGGAAAGATTGAGAGAACAGGGATGAAATGGCCAAACTTTTTGGCAACAGCAGCCATCTCCAGATACAATCCACAATAGATAACAGCAAATTCAAACAAATTATGCAAACAATATCTTCCAAAAATATCATTAAAAACAGAAGTAAAAAAAGTGTCGACAGGAAGAGCAAAACTTATTATGCTATCCTTGCCAGCGTCAGCAATTTTGAATAAACATGATAGTATATCGTCAGAACTGAACTACATCGAACAAAAAGGACTGCATTATATTCCTGGAAATTCTATAATCTACTGCACTAGGATCAAGAGTAGGAATTTCAAAGGACAAACAATTGTTTCAGAAGACAGTATGACCAAGTCAAGAAGACCCCAAATGAAGGTGCAAATGGAAAAGAAATGAAGACATACAAAACCCAAATGAAGTCTACCTACATTTTCAACTTGACATTGAATGCGAAAAATTCCTTGATTAGCAGGCGTGCGAATGTCAAGGACCCTGAAATTCAATCGTGTATCCTGATTTACACGAACAAGTTGCTCTCCAGCCTGCATCATAAAACAAATCTGTTTAGATGCTCAATATAAAAGGATTTATCCATCAATTTCTGGTAGGCCAAGGAACACAACTAATTATTGATATCCACTAGGTGAACTTGTTACGAGAATCACAGGGAAAATTTATTCTAGAAGCATTGGAAAATATGCATTATAGAAGGGAATATATTCTTGCATGTGCCTGAGTAAACATGTACACTGCAAGAAAGCATACCTTCAAAGCCTTTTCTATTTCCTCTTCACTTCTAGCAGCATCCTCAATATGAATAGGTAGTGTAGGAATAGCCTTGTTGACACAATAAAGTTTTCTCACTTGCACCTCCACCTACAGCAAACCAATCCATTATTCATCAGAAATACATAGATAATTCAAAATGCACTTGTTATATGCTGATTCACTCAAGCTTCTCATGCACCTAGCAGCCACATTTGATTCAAAAATTTTGCAAGTATTGCCTCGTTCAGAGTACAACTTAGTATGTATGAGAGAATAATTATTCAATAACTCTCCAGTCGACCATCATTTGAAGTCCCATGAATTTTAGTTAGTAGGCGAAAACCTTTTTACAGATGTACTAACAATTATGCATAGGTTGAAATTCTAGTAGCCTTACTGACCAAAAGATAAATTATTTCATACACCGTATTGAATTGAACCAAGTTTGTTCTACATTTTATCAAATTTAAATTTTATTGACATATAGCAAAATGGTTTATACTCTTCCAGTTTATTAACGAGAATTTCAAAATTCAGTAATGAATTCCTAGTGCACGTGTTTATCGTTAGTCTCAAACCAAGGAAATTCCACTTTTAAATTTCAGTTACGCCTGGCATAAAGAAATAAAAATATAGTTAAGTAGGCACCAGATTAAAATTATTCGAACTAAATTTAGAGCCCAGATGACACACACAAACAGTCAGACGTGTAATATTCTCATCAGTGCGGTGCATATAGTTTAAAAAGTTACCGTGTCAACATCCTTTGGCAAATTGAACCAAAAGCATAAAAAGACACAAAAAACACACACTAACGAGTTCTGACAGATGGAATTTTTGAAATATCAAGTTCAATTAGGTAGAAAATTTTCCCAATCCAGTTCCAATGCCCAATTCCATCCTTTCAAGTTCCTGCATCGCATCAATACAAACAGGAAAACACACGGACCTGTTGAGTGGCGCCTGTGATAGTAGTAGCAGGCACAGAGATAATTCCTTCGATATCAACAATTGATTCCCTGCTCAAACTGGTGGCAAATTTCACCATCTGGGCACTGACAACATCAGGCGTCACAGTCAAGATGCACTGCACCGTAAAACCCCGTTCCCTCACCACAACAAACGCCATCTTTTTCCCTACGGCTCGAATTGCCTGACACCGGCCCCGGAGCAGAACATCCTGGTCCTTCAACCCTTCATTCAACTCCTTCACTTCCGTCCACTTTCGGCCCGAGATTTCCATCGACTTCAAATCATCCAATGGGGTTTCACCGTAATTTTCGGCCAATGGATCCGCAGCGTCAATTGCCATGGAAGAAATATTGGTGGCCGCGGCAGCCGCCGCCGCTTCTTGGCGTTTGCGCAAGCGTTCAAGTTTTGCAGCCTCTTTTTTGGACAATTTCTCACCACTGCTTTCTTCATTTTGTGATTGATCTTCAGGGTTTGTTGGGTTCAGGGATGGTTCTTCAGAAGCCATTTTTACAGAGAAAATGGGGGACCGCGTAGGGTTTTAGAAATGGGAAAATGAAAGTGGGAACTTGAAATGATTCGATGAAATTCTTATTCCGAACAAGATCGATTCCAATTAAGCCCCCGTTTGACACCCATTTTTTTATCTCATTCTCATTCTCATTTTTCTATAGTACTCATTTCTAATTACACATTCTCCAAATAAAATAATATTACACATAAACCCAAAAATTTTTCTTACTTTTTAATCACACATTCTTTACATCAATCACTATTCAAAAACTCATTCTTCAAAAGAATGGGTGCCAAACAGCCTCTAAAATTAGACCGTAAATTGCCCCCCGGGGCACATCCAAGTTGGCAAAGGATGGGCACTACTGGGCTTGCAACCTCAGGGTGGGGAGTTCGATTCCTGGATGGAGCAGCTGGGTGATGTAATATCCTTGGAGGAAGGCTCCCTTGGGGCCAGGAGTATAAAGGGTGCACAGACCCTGGTCAATTTGGGCATATCCCGCGATTAACCTCCACCCATCACTGAGGGGCCGGGGATGGGTGGTCCAGGACATAGTCTAGTGTAAGTTAGGATACCTGGATATCAAAAAAAAAAAAATTAGACCGTAAATTTCCAGTCGATCATCAATTTAATCATAAGAATTTTTATACCAAATTTTTTACACTCCAATCCAGTTGGGAGGGAGGTGTGGGCCACGAGCAGAAATTTTTAAATACGTCAGCACGCATTGTATTGTGCGAGGGGGACACCATTCCATATATTTAGACTAATTATTTATTTGGATTCTATATTATAAATTAGGAAAATGCTATTGGTGCATTCTTTCTTAACAGATATGATGAGACGATAAGATTTTAATGACTAGTTTAACTTTGATTTTCCAAAATAGCGTGAAATCTCGTCAACTCAATATTTTGTAAAACAACCTATACAATATGCCTCCTTTTGTTTCTCATTTTTCATTCATAAAAATGAAAAATATGATCGTTATTCATTCCATCAATTTTGAATATCTATCTCTTGTGTGGGACCCAATAACGACTATGTTTTTCATTCTCGTTCCATGATAATGAGAATCAAATGGGCCATATATGTATAACATCGGAAAAATTCACTTTTATAATTAAAATAAAGTATTCAATAAAAATTTAAGTTTAGAAATTTGGTAAGTACGGAATTTATATATAAGTAATGCTACAAGTACTTAAACATCTACATAAGGGTTCACATAATTATACGTGGCATATGATCCAACCTCTAATTCAAATTTCACACTTACACATCAACAAGTAGATGATAGACACATCACCATTATGTACACTATTATGTACATCATTATGTTCTTCTAGCATTATTCTTCCGTCCAGAACAGGATTCTGAAAAGAGTAATACTACATGTACATAACGATTCACATAATGGTTCACATAATTACATGTGACATGTAATCCAACCTTTAATTCAAATTTCACACTTACACATCAACAACTTGATGATTGACACATTACCATTATGTGCACCATTATGTGCATCATTATGTACCTCTAACATTATTCTTTATATATCTATATCTCTATCTATAAAAGTCTCAATGTTAGATAAAAAATTTTGGACGATAATACTCCCACTCATATTTTAGAATATCAAATTTGTTATTTTCAAAATAACTTAGCTTCTGTTTGGTTTAGGTAAAATCAGATCTTCAATAATACATTACACGTTTTGAGAGAACTAGAAAGCTCACACCAATGCGTAGACAATTTCTCGCAAGTTCATTATCAACTCAATATTAAAAACGAGTGGAGTTCGTTTTTTCCTCTGAATGATAAGAAACAATACGCAACTAGACCCAAATTTTAATACAAATATCTTCCTAATGCAAGAAAACAAATTTAGTTACAGGTATAAAAAGAAGAAGAAAACAAGAGATGTGAATGGTGCTCCAAGTCACTGGGCTTTTGAATAGAATCCAACCCGGCGGAAAGGATGGTCAAATTAAGTCCTCCGGGCTCTGGCTTTTCATAATATATCCCCTTTCCTTTAAAAGAGAGGATGCTTAGTTTACTGTTCATCTCGTGTCCTCCATTTCACACTTTAACTGGTTATGTAATGCCTGCCATGCTTCCCTTTTTTATTTGACTGGGAGTCAACCTCAACCAATAGAGGCCCACTTCATTTAATGTCCATATCTCAATTGGCATGTTCATTTTTTTTTTTGAATGGTCATTTGGTGTCCACTTGGTTCAGTTTACTGTTCATCTTACATATATTTGACCATGCTTAACAACCACCAACAGAAGTCCGCTTCATTTAATGTTCATTCAAATTGGCCGACAAATGTTCTATTACTATTCATCTTATATATATTTGACCATGCTTAACAACAACGAATAGAAGTCTGCTTCATTTAATGTTTATTCAAATTGGCCGCATATGTTCTATTTGAAATTTATAGTATATTCATTAATTTTTCCCATACCTATCTTATCTCCAGTTTTGTTAAAGTGGTAAAAAAAAATTCTCACCGACTGTACGTACCAGCGTCTTCCATCCCTTGCTACCAGTGCTATCTGCGGTTTGTTTTTGTTATAGGTTAGTTTTGTATTATCTTCATCTTCGATTTAGTGTTAATTTGGAATTTCTTATGCTTGTTTGATTTGTATTTTCAGTCCACCTATTCACAGTAAGGAGATATTGCATGCTGGATAGCATATCAATTATCTGAGGTATATTAATCTCATAACTGTCGCATGCTAGGTTTATTTGTTTCTTCAGTTTTTTTTTTTTTCATTTTCCCAGGTGTTCATTTCATATCTTATGATTTGAAGTTCAACTATTTGTCACATTTGTACTATATATATATATTTGAATTTGATAGTTAATTTTTTTCCCCGTATCGTTTAGTATTATAATGTTCTTCTTATTTTTTTTTTTGTATTTCAAAATTTATAAATAATTTGTCCGTCCATTGAATTCGAGCTTTACATTTTGTGTGTTTTTAAGTCGTTTCTATTATTTCGTATTTGTCTCCCTTATTACTATATTAATATTTCATTTTGTTTAATATTATTCTTCACTTTTCTCTTTCACATCATTTAAAGCTTCTTTGCATATGTTGAAGTATTTGTGTAATTAATGTTATTTAATTATTACACATTATTAAATATTAGAAAGTTTGAACACTTCAATGTAATCTTCAACGGTTTCTTCTAATAATTAGTTACATTTCTACATTTTAGTTTTCGCGTATGAATGGTTTAATACATTTACTAATATAATATTCTTAAATTCTCTTAATTTATACTTCTTTCATTGGAGTTGAAATATTGAAGAATTCTTGTTGCTAGCGTGATGGATATTTTGGAAACCTCTGCTCATGAAGACCATATTGTTGCTAACATTAATACTATGTTCGAAAGTGGAGATAAGTCACACGGATCCTCCATTCGTCAACAACGAATTCATCGAGATTGACGAAGTAGATTTAGAAATAATTGCAGTAATTTTCATAAAAAGAGAAATGACCCTATGTTATCAGAAAATAATTACCCTCTTGTTGCCCAACAACTTGAATCCGTGGTGCACCAAAATTCTGATGACTCTTCAACTTTGAATCAAGAAACATTTACTATTTTCAATTCTGATGAATATGAATTAGAAGACACTCTTAAGGGATTGAACATTCCATCTGCTGCATATGTATGACCAGCGTCCATTTATTGTACACATTGTAATGCACGTAAATTTTACAAAGAAAGTAAGATTTCTGTTGTTCCGATAGAAAAGTTAAGCTTTTTATATGTGATTCACCATTTGAACTATATAATTTGTTTACTTCTAAAGAACTTCATTATATGGAATCTTAAAAAAAATGTAAGGGGATATAATCATCTTGTTTTTACTTCATTTGGTGTAAAATACGATAAAAAATTGTTCAAAAATTATAAAGGTATTTATACATTTAGAGTTCAAGGATAAGTACATCACTATGTAAGCGAATTTATGCCAAATAATAATATGTCTTCTTATATGTAATTATATTCTTATGATACAGAAAATGAATTGCAAAATAGAATGAAAATTTCATCAAACTATGTTGAATCTACTTTAATATTTTTGCTGCAAATCTTGAAAATAAATCCTTACAGTAAATTTTTTAGATCTTTAAGTGATATGCCTAATTTGCATGATCANTATGATCCGTTACTCTTTCCATATGGAGAATCTGGTTGGCATGAAGGTATTGAGAGATACAAAAGTACATGCTTCCAATCTGAACATTTGTCCACATTTGATGTTTTCCCTAACGCGAATACTTCTGCTGTTGATTTTCTTGAACAAGAAAATGGAGGTTAGTAAATATATTTTTACTACTACATGTTTATATTTTTGGTAGTATGTTACTTTATCAATGAATATTGAATTCAGTTTCTTCTTCGGTTTCGTAGTACTTGGTCATGCGAAGACACGTACACAAGTATCTTGTTGAGAGTATTATTCATATAAATTACAAATCAGGACTTCTAATAAGTCTGTATTACTTCATGCTGGTAGATTATTTCAACAATATGTTGTGGATATTGAATTCAGTCTCTTCTTCGGTTTCGTAGTACTTGGTCATGCGAAGACACGTACACAAGTATCTTATCGAGAGTATTATTCATATAAATTACAAATGATGACTTCTGATAAGTCTGTATTAGTTCATGCTGGTAGATTATTTCAACAATATGTTGTGGATATATATGTTAAGATTGAAATAGCAAGATTAGACTATTTTCGCAATAACCAAAAATAAATTCGTGCTGAACTTTATCAAGATATTGTAGACAATATTCAAAATGGGGAAACAAGAGGGTGTAAAGTTGGAAGGAAATTTGTTTTACCGAAATCTTTTACATGTGGACCTCGTGATAGGTTAAGAAGATATATGGATGGAATGACTATTGTACAACGTTATGGAAAACCTGATATATTTTTCACTATAACATGTAAT